AAAAATAAAAAATCAGTGTATGCTTATTTTAAACATAAAAAAGCAAACATCAATTAAAAACAATACTTAAGATGTACATAAGAACATAATTAATCTGTACATAACTAATATACCAAACATAAACTAAGATGTACAATAACTGTACATATTCCTAAGATGTGCATATAATGTACATATATTGTACATATACTAAACATATACGAAGTTAGCGTAGGGCACCGAGTGGTAGAGAGAGAGAGGAGTGGGAGGAGCGGCTCGAATGGGGCGGCGGAAATCGGGTATCTCGCGAAGAGGAATCACCCGTGCTGTAGGCTGTTGAATAGCGAGAGGAAATAAGACGCGACGAAGATTAGGCGATCTGCGGCGGGGATGGGTGTGTGGGCGGAGGCGGAAGTCTTTGGGATAGAGCGGCGACGAAGTGGCGAATGTGGGAGGTTAGATCTAAATCGCCTATACTGGAGGTCATTGAAGCGCGAGAGGAAATGCGACGCGATGGAGATTAGGGCGGTCAGCGACGGGNGGCACGTGGGTGGCTCCGTGTGTTGGCCCTCGGTGTTTGCGTGGTCCGACCTTGGCGGGTATGCGGACTTCTGAGGGCGGATCTGTGGTCAAGTTCTTCTGGATGTATAATTGATACATGAATACAGGAGTAATAGAAATAAGTAAAATTAATTAACGAATATATATGATATGTATTAGCCAAACTTGGACTGATGTCAGAAACCCAACAATTAAGAGGAAATTACATCCTGCACTGCACATTAACATTTTTATTACATATTTACAACTCATATATATTTATTTGCAAATTAACTAAAAGTATCATATGTATTTACAAACATACTAGATTATTAAGCAATAATTAATTATTTTTAATTATGGTAAAAACAGATTTAATGAGATTTTTATCACGACACTTTTTCTCGCTCTCCCTATCTATTCTTCTTCTTCTTCTCTCCCCCCCCTCTCTCTCTCTCTCTCTCATTATCTTCTTCTACAAATCCGCCGGTTCTTCTCACCCACCGTCCCTTCGCCACTTCGCTTTCTCCCATCCATCCATCCCCGCCGCGAACGCCTAATCTCCACCGTGGTTCAACGACCTCCGATATAGACGATTCAAATCTAACCGCCCACCACCGCCCCTTCGCCGCTGCTCTATCCCGAAGACTTCCGCCTCAAAGACCAAAGACTTATAAAGATGCTATCTTTGCCGACAATTCAAAAACCTGAAGCAAATGTTTGCATAAAACCCGTTTAGTATGTGCAAGTTACAATTCTTTTGCATATCTTGAATTGAGTCTGCTTTTTTTTTTTTTTTTTT